CACGCCACTTGACCAACTCACTACAACTAATTTTCCCCCGAAAATTCATAGAAGAAAATAACTCCGATCAATCTGGTACAAAGTTTGGTGTTTTGGTGTAAACTGACATACTGTTTTTTAATTTTATGGTTCTATTTTTTTAAGGCTGTAGAAAAATAATCTTAGAAAATGACCTTGATTATCTGAAACTGATTGTATTTTGTGCTGAGCATTACATTGCAGGAGTGAGTGAGTGAAAGAGTGAGTTTAGTTTTACGCCGCACTCAGCAATATTCCAGCTATATGGCGGCGGTCTGTAAATAATCGAGTCTGGACCAGACAATCCAGTTATCAACAGCATGAGCATTGATCGCAATTGGGAACCGATGACATGTGTCAACCAAGTCAGCAAGCCTGTCCACCCGATCCCGTTAGTTGCCTCTTACGACAAGCATGTGTTAATAAAGATCAATATTCTAACCCGGACCTTCACGGGTCTATCCTTTAAAGAGCCAAGTCTAGATCAGCGGACACCATTCTGTTAGAGGGACAATGTGTACTTTTCATTTCATTTTTACGAAATTATCATTTAAACTATAAATTATTACCTTAGAGACTTGTGGAAGTCTACTATGCCCAATGCTAGACCCAGTGCGATGTTTATCATGTTTATGGCCAAGACAATGTAAGTTGTAACGCCTATGGACTACTTCCCTATCCCCGTCCCTGATATACAGCCGAAACATTCCTCACAGTAACACACAACAAATCAGCCACATTCACCGGCTCCAAACAATTTTACTCTCAAGAATGAATACAGTCTAGCTATGCAGAGATAGGGCGGGGCTAAATAGATAAAGAAAGTACTTGTTGAAATCTGACCTCAACGTTCGGTCAGTTATTTATATCATGCTAAATCTACTTCAGCTGTTGCAACATCAAGAGGGAAATGGTTGATTAAGCCCTACTTATCATGTTCATATGTCTGTTGTCATGATTACAGAGATTTAAAATATATCCCAACAAAACCTTTTGGCATTGTCCCAGAGATAAATTTGTCACATCAACATCTCAAATCTTAAATTCAACCTGCTTAACAGCACTTGAGCTGATACTATTAATTATACTATACACAAACTTACAATCATTGTTTCATGAGATCAGAAGACATGTATGTATTTTCAAGTGTGGCACAAAGCATTTTTAAAGTTATTTTGGTCTGCCCATTGGTATTTAATTGTTCCAACCAGAAGAATATATTTCAAAGTAAAAGAAAACATTAACAAAACTGTATGAACTAATATACCAGTATAATAATATTCTGTGTGCTTGTAAAGTTAACATGCTTTGCTTGTTTTTAAAACGTGGTTTCTAAGCATGTGATAAAGCCATGTATAACCTATTTTAATATTAAATTTGCTGTTTTGATCTTATCCTGCTGTGGTCTGTTTAACACAAGGACTTTGAAATCCAGCACACACTCACACAAAAGTGGACAAAATCTTATTGAGCAACATAATGAACTACCACAAAATGGCATATTTCAAGAACAAAAAGTCAAACTGGTCAAAGTCATGAGAAGAAATACTACAACATTTTGTAATCATTTTCATGTTCAGAGACACACTCATTTACAGAGTACTCTGAAACTGAAACTGATTCATAAATCCCCTTTCTGAAGTACAACCCACAAGGAACTAGACATGGGCAGCCATCAATATGCAAACAATCTTTCCCCTATTTGAACCCAGATGGCAATTAGCTTTTATTGAATGAATGAATATAGTTTTATGCTGCTTTCAGCAATATTCCAGCAACATCACAGCCAGGGACACCAGAATGAGCTTCACATACTGCACCTATGTAGTGAATCAAGCATGTATCTTTCGGAGTGACAAGATATTCACTCCATCTCAAATTGACTCCAGATCATACTATCCTATGCAGCCCAAACGGTAAAAACCTAAAAATGAGGATTTTTCACATTTATTTTATTGACATTTTGTACACATATTTTGTTGAAAATAGAGCTTGAAAGTCAAGAGGATAGCCCTAATGTTTAAAGTCAAAGACATAAAGAGACCCAGATTCAACACTTTAAGGTATCAAATAATTTGAGATACCTTTTTTCTGTAAACAACAATATGGAGTGAACATGATAGCGAGGTCAAGTCAGATTTATTTACAACAACGTTCCATCTGTCCAAACTTCCGGATATTACTGTCTCCGCCAGATAACTTAATAACCTTTGCTGCTGGCAACAGTATAAAGGTCACACAGCAATAAACAACACGCTGAAAATGTTACAATACCAGTGACTCCATCCATATATGTAGTGAAATCTACATGATTGCTACAAATAGGGAAATCTACATGATGTGCACCACTTTGGATGTGTCATTATCAGGGTTGTAAGTCATATTTGACAAGAACTAGCACAGTATAGCTTACTGTAATATATCCTGATGACTGCAGAATATAATAAGCACATGTATGTCACCCAGTAGGCTTTAAGCACAAGCACAGCCCTATGAACAATGAGGCTGATAAAAACTAGAACAGCAACTGTTTCCGTTATTGCAATTTGCATGTAATGAATATTTTTATACACTGTATATATTGACATGTGAAATGCACTCTATGCGAAGGCGAAAAAGCACATTTATGTAAAAGCAACATTTTCTTCACGTGACAGCTGGCAGAATGTTTACAAGTAGAAATATCATGAATTTCAGTTTCAAAATATCAAAATATTTATATCATGTATTCAGAGTTTACAGATTACACAATAAATAATCATATTTTCATATTGGCCCATCAACCTTTCATCTCACTGAAAAACACCTCCCCCGCATTTTTAAATGTCACAGACACAAGCGATGAAGCAAATATCTCTTTTCTTTTTGCATATGACATGTGTGTGTATATATATATATATATATATATATATATATATATAAAGAAAGTGATGAGAATACCGAGCGTACAGTAGTACATATATAAGAAGAAGTTTCTGAAATAATCACACGACGGATCTTCTCCAACATGTTTCACTTTTATCTTCAGGGAGAAGTGATTACAGTTAAACGGATTATGTTATGACGTCACAATGCAACTGTATACAAATTTACTAGTAGCTTTTCAGACACATTGCGTTACCTATTTAACATGGACACAATTCTTTGATGAAAAAGTGCTGCGCATTTGTCAATGTGACAATCTGTTGTTTATGGACGCCACATTCTGTGTTCTTCATGACACCCTTGGCATATAATAACATAAATAATATGTTTTTCTTGGAGCAGTCCATGTTAGAGCGTACATGAAATAATTGTTTCCTGTTTTTGAACTTTATACATGAAGTTTCAAGTATATATTCACAAGTTCCACAATTTCATTTTGAGACACTGAATTCTGTAGGTTTAATACATGAGTATATATATATATATATATATTATTTATTTATTCAGTCCTACCAACCATCATGTAAATCACATCCTTCAACCAACAGTAAACAAAACACTTGACCAGAGATTTGCAGCAGTTTAGTTTTTTCCTGTAACTCTTGTAACCCGAATACTTTGTTAAGTGGTGGTAGTAAAACCAACCTCATAAATGAATAGCTGTTATAAACATCTGCATTTAAAAATACTAGACTAACAACTAGACTCTGAAATAAACATAACTTACAGAAAAAAAGTTCATAGTTAAAAAAATAAAATATAATGAAAAGGAACTCTCAGACTTTCTTCATTTTCATTCCTGAAGCTGTGGAAATCTAGACTTGCCACATTTTACTAGATTTGCGTGGGCTTTCTTGGATATATTTGCTTCAGGGTCTGTATCACAGACTAATATAAATACATAAATGCCTTACAATGCTCATTTTTTCATAGTGATGAATTTAATGATTATTTAATCAACCAGCCAATGTGTAACATTTGAGCTTATTCCTGGTCTCAGATTTTCCAGTATATTATCAAGTGACATGAATCAAAGATTTTTTAAATTTGACAAATGCTATGAAAACATATTTTAGAAAGTGTTTTTTCTGGAAAAGAAGTAATTTAATTATTATGGTGGTTTTCCAACAGATGTTGCGAGAAAGTTATCAAACAACAATATTTATCTCAGAAGAGACTTCAGTCATAAAAACGTAAGTCCAGCTACTTAAATAGGATAAATACCTATAGTGACAAAAATCAAATTTAACTCTTTTCATATTGTTTTAAATAAATATATTCATTTCAGAAAGTAAGTGGGAAAATAGGGAATGAATAGATATGTTTTATTCATCATTCACAACAGGTTTTACATTCTCTGTGAATGTCAAGACCTATGACTGTTTAAGTAGGTACACAAAGTTTCTGTCAAAGGGTAGGACTGTCCTGTATGCATAAATAAATTTATTCCTTGTCAATAGATATGAGAGATTACACAAACATTGACGAAAAGGGTATCCGGTGTCGGAAGCAACGAAATATGTCTTGCTTGAAACTCCATCCTTCATCCGTGTCAAAGTATTAGTGATCCAGGGAGGGCGTGGTACAGTAGAGCTATAGAAGTATAAGGCATTCCCTCGCCCCTTTCTTATGACATTGTGTTGTTACTGGGACCAGCCCACAAAACTTGTCACTCATTTTAACCTGACAATGATTTCACAACAACAAGGGTGTAACAGAACTCGGCTCAAATACCCATAACAATACGACCCAGTACACGTACGTTCAAAACTATACTGCAGTACATATACTACGAATGACTGTTAGAGATAACTACCACGCCATGACCTTATTACCAGCTGACTATTAAAATTCTGTGGAGTGTACATGCTTCCTACCGCACCATCTTTGTTAATACATTCTACAGATCCACGCCGTTTATGGGCGATGTCCAAGAACTGTCAAAGCGCGTCAACGCATTCCGAAAGAGACACCATGTTATCAATCAATCAGCCTGTTGCATATTAGTACTATTCAGACAGCAATAAGAAATGACCACACCCTAAAAGAATACTCACTCCCTGGGTCAGGTCCTGGCGGGGATGGGTCCATGTTTTGCATTTCGAATCCAATGGGTGGCGGTGCCGCAACGCCTTGAGGCGGGGGTCCAGCGACTGGAATCCGAGAAATGTAACTCCCATTCTGCCCCTCCATCGTCTAAGGTAAACTCCGAGTCACACGCACAGAACCTGGAATATAGGCACAGTACCAATGAAATTCTACAGAAGGTCGAGGTAGTCTCAGAATACCTCTCAAACCAGACGATTCTCCCCACTGCCAAACCTACCCAGTCACCCCGCTCGCGAAATGATGGCCCAACTCCGAGATAACAGTAAACTAAAACAAGGCCAATTCTAGCTAATTAGATAGATTTTGCGTCAATAATCTATAGTTATGTAATACATGTCAACACTTACCGGTACTGTTGGGACTTCCGCCGATAATTTTCAGTTAATCCTCAACCAAACACACTTTCCCGTGACATTTGCCGACTTGTTTATATCAAGTCGACTTGTTCGACGTCTTCCTACATAGGTGGCGCTTTATTCTATTTTTAGCACACGAGTAGATGGGGAAACACTCTCCGCGCAATCTTCTGGCTGTCGGGGCGAATCACCGGCTTTGATGTGTGGATGTTCATACCGGCATTACCGCGCTTGCAAAATATTACCTATATATACTGCACCAGTTTTCATATATACCAGTAGGGGATGTACAGAATATTAATTTGGCAGGTGTTACCCCGAGAGACTATATACCCTAACTGCCCCATCACACAAGCAGACTTTACTTTGAAGACATGGATAAATACGGTTGGCTGAGGACCTCTCTGGACAACTATAGTCCACCATCGTTGAACAACATGCCTCGTGTTGTTTTATGCTTGTAACTGTAAACATTTGTATTATCTTTCAGTGATTTTCAAATAGATCTAGCCTCTAAAATGTCAACATATTTTTATTTTATTTTGAAATCACATTATATAGACTGTAATATCATTATTACATAACCATTTTGTGAGCATTTTTGTACCCGATAGCTTTTATTACGCATTGTAGAATGGTAAAAATAATAGAATGCCCTTAATGCCGCAGAAATAATATAAGTAAGTGAATGCTGCCATAATAAAATATGTGTGCCTATAATAGTGTGCAAATCAACGTCCATATAGACTTTCATGCTGTAATACATCTAACACTATAAAATGCGTGGTTTATTAAAATGTTTAGATGACAATACGCAGGGAAAAACCGCGAGGGAAGGGACAATAATGAAAGGAAGGACATACGTTTTCAGAATGGGCAAAATCTATTCTTTTTATGGCCATGGATATTTTTATGATGATTAATGTTGCAATCCTCATGATAAAATCAAAACAGTATGTTAATGTTGTTTTGTTGAAACCATTACTGGATGATGTTTTGGTTTTTTTACTCTTATTATCTTTTTCTATTGTTTTGTTTTGTTTCGTTGGAGGAGTAGGGAGCCAAAATAATTATGGCAAAATAATTATCAAACGTGGTGTTACATATTTCTTTGTTTGGACCAGGCAATCAGTTGAATGACTTCATGAGAATCGAGTCACAAATCATTCAGATTCTTTTGTCAGATTAGACACCGTGTACCTTCATTTCCGAAGATGTTTTGTTTGTTTTGAATATTGTTGGTTTGAGGGTTTTAACGCTGCACTCAGAGTTCGGACACAATGACACAAGCCAGGGAAGCTGACCACCCGATCCCGTTAGTCCCTTGTAACAAGCCAGGGAGGCTGACCACCCGATCCCGTTAGTCCCTTGTAACAAGCCAGGGAGGCTGACCACCCGATCCCGTTAGTCCCTTGTAACAAGCCAGGGAAGCTGACCACCCGATCCCGTTAGTCCCTTGTAACAAGCCAGGGAGGCTGACCACCCGATCCCGTTAGTCCCTTGTAACAAGCCAGGGATGCTGACCACCCGATCCCGTTAGTCCCTTGTAACAAGCCAGGGAGGCTGACCACCCGATCCCGTTAGTCCCTTGTAACAAGCCAGGGAGGCTGACCACCCGATCCCGTTAGTCCCTTGTAACAAGCCAGGAAGCTGACCACCCGATCCCGTTAGTCCCTTGTAACAAGCCAGGAGGCTGACCACCCGATCCCGTTAGTCCCTTGTAACAAGGCCAGGATCCCGTTAGTCTGACCACCCGATCCCGTTAGTCCCTTGTAACAGGCCAGGGAAGCTGACCACCCGATCCCGTTAGTCCCTTGTAACAAGCCAGGGAGGCTGACCACCCGATCCCGTTAGTCCCTTGTAACAAGCCAGGGAAGCTGACCACCCGATCCCGTTAGTCCCTTGTAACAAGCCAGGTTAGTCCCTTTGTAAGCTGACCCTTGTACCCGATCCCGTTAGTCCCTTGTAACAGGCCAGGGAGGCTGACCACCCGATCCCGTTAGTCCCTTGTAACAAGCCAGGAGGCTGACCACCCGATCCCGTTAGTCCCTTGTAACAAACCAGGGAGGCTGACCAACCCGATCCCGTTAGTCCCTTGTAACAAGCCAGGGAGCTGACCACCCGATCCCGTTAGTCCCTTGTAACAAGCCAGGGATGCTGACCACCCGATCCCGTTAGTCCCTTGTAACAAGCCAGGGAAGCTGACCACCCGATCCCGTTAGTCCCTTGTAACAAGCCAGGGAGGCTGACCACCCGATCCCGTTAGTCCCTTGTAACAAGCATGGGTTGCTGACCACCCGATCCCGTTAGTCCCTTGTAACAAGCATGGGTTGCTGACCACCCGATCCCGTTAGTCCCTTGTAACAAGCATGGGTTGCTGACCACCCGATCCCGTTAGTCCCTTGTAACAAGGATGGGTTGCTGAGGACCAGTTTTAACCCGAATGTTAACGGGTTCCTAAACAGGTCTAGCAATGTCGGACAATGACGGTGTTTTGCAACAAAAGGCTTTCTTTATGTGTTCACTACCCAAAAGATGCAAAACCTGTTTCAGTCCTCTAAACCGACAATAGACGAGGCTTGCTCCACGGGGTGCGACGGGTGTAATGCTATATAGTCTCTCTGAAGGTGATGTCCAGAGCACAGGCCCGCGTGTCTTTGCGAGGATTAACGATTTTATAAAATATATACAAAAATTTGAGATGACCCCCGACTCGAAATGCTTCACAGTATAATACATTATGATGTATTGCACTGTGAAGCATTTCGAGTCGGGGTCATCTCAAAAACAATATGTTTTTAATCATTAATCCTCGCAAAGACGCGAGGGCCTGTGATCCAGAGCTGAAAGTTACGATATAGCATATAGTCGGGTGATTTGACTGATATAAGTGTGCATGCATGAACGTCAGGTTGCATACAGACTTTGCATGCGATTGTAGAACATATAGAAGAACAGAATAGATAAAATACAACGTAAAATTTATGTTTACTTTGTGTAAGTGCAACATATTCGCCGAGTGGTTTCCTTCGTTCTAACGCTATCTTAGTTGTATGCCATATGTAGTATTCCATATATTATGTAAGTCATGACACTTGATAATACGTTGAGAAAAATAACAAAGAAATATACTGACTTATATAATTACATATACTGCATGATAATAGATCACATTCATGAAAAGTGGACTTGACCCAAAATTAATATCGTTATCGAAACGTCAGTTCGTTCAAACAGCCTCCCAAACACAACAAACTTACTGTCCGCAAACAGCAAAGACATACGCAGACAGACAGACAGACAGATCTATTTCGTAGAGTGGCCATGACGCCAAAAGTACAATGGCAGTTTTACATAATTTTCTTTGGAGCGCTGGCATGGAAAATACATTGGTATAAGCATCACAAAACCTTATGTAGTTTGTTTACAAATATAGCTGGGCGTAAAATAACATTTGCATTTTGGTTTTTAAGTAAATTCACAAACTTGTGTATGTTAGGGCTTACATGATACTGTTGGGGATTATATGTGCTTCGTAAACAGGGCATTTTAATTGTCTACATGGTGCTCATCCTCAACAATAGGGGCGGTGGGGTAGCCTAGTGGTTAAAGCTCGTCAGGCTCAAAACCTGGGTTCGATTCCCAACATGGGTACTATGTGTGAAGCCTATTTGTGGTGTCCCCCGCCGTGATATTGCTGGAATATTGCTACAAGCGGCGTAAAACTAAACTCACTCACTCTTCAACAATATTGAGGCAATGGGCGCACATGGCAGAACTGATATGATCATCTTTCGATCTTCTATAGGTTTGTACATTCAGTTTACTAATGCCGCATCTAAATATTGTAAGAGATCTTGGAAGTTGCATAGAGGGTAATACTTTTAGATATGTTTCGTGGACAATGTCATTTTTAATTAATGAATATGCTTACAGATAATATGTGGAGCTTGCAATATCGATGACCATTCTTGGTAAAATATATCTCTACAACATTGTTTGAATAGGATCTCCAACTGTTTCGAGGACCCATACATACAAAACTGTATTGAAATAACAATATTCTAACTGAAGAGGTCCAGTTATAGTATTTCCATTATCATACGTATCAAATACATCAAATAATAATTTAATTTTTGTTGCATTTTTATCCCATCCAACATGTCCAAGAAAGTATAGAGAATAAGGTAACTATGAGAATTTTATGTACCCGTGAAGACTCAGGCTAGAATTGACACATATCATCGAATCCCAATTGCGAAGATCGATACTCATGTTGTTGATCACTGGATTGTCTGGTCCAGACTCGATTATTTATAGACCGCCGCCATATAGCTGGAACATTGCTGAGTACGACGTAAAGCTAAACTCACTCACTCACTTCCTGTTTTTAAAACATGATGCTACTGTTAAAAATATATACTCTCCGATAGCATTCGTTGTTTTTTCTTCCTATTATGTTCTTTGTTTGTCGATTTATCGCAAACAACTTTGTTTTCCGGTGCATACAAAGGTTAAAAACAAACACGTCTACTGTCCCATGTTTTAGTGTCCGTTTAATGGGTTACATAGACTAACAACTAGTCTCTGAAATGAACATATTTTACTGAAAAATGTTCATAGTAAAGAAAAATATAATATAATGAAAAGGAGCCCTGAGACTTTCTTCAGGGTCTGTACGAGAGACTATGGGTTACACCGCGTGTATAAATTCAACAGCAATGACGTAGATGTCGACAGATATTCTGAGTGTGAACGGTAATAGACGTCATGTGTCTGACTGAGGTGTAATGTCAATGTTAATTTCACCGTTAACTACAGTGGGGGCAGTGGGATAGCCTAGTGGTTAAAGCCTTCGCTCTTCGCGCCGAAGGCCCGGGTTCGATTCCCAACATGTGTAAAAAGTGTGAAGCCCATTTTTGGTGTCCCCGCCGTGATATTGCTAGAATGCTGCTGAAAGCGGCGTTAAACCTAACTCACGTACTCACTCACTCACTCAACTACAGTATTAGGTCTGGGGCTCTTGTCCAGAATATAGATTTCCTGTACTATCAAAGCAAAAAATCTTTCAGTGACATCTAAAAAAATCTAATGTATAAACTACATATTTATTTA